CTGTCAGGCTGCACATCACTGCCCCCCCCCCTCCTCCTGCCATGGTGCTCAGCTGACTTCTGCACCGCTCAGCCAGGCCGCCATAGGGGAGCAGGGGGAGCAAGCAGAGCAAGTGGCCGTTTGGGCCCCGCACTCCCCATGCAGCACAGGATACCTAGAGGGAACATCCAGCATTTCAGCAACAGCGCCACCCAGGGGGAACAGCCAGAATTTAAGCATTACAGACTCACAGACATTGGGCTACTATATATATGATAGGTACTATTCCTATGCCACATAGCCCTAAACCAAGATAGCTATTAAACAGTTAAAAGATTATGAGCCTATTTATACGTTGACAAGAGTAACTTTCTGATTTTAGACAATGTGGACATAGATTATTCTCTTGTTCATACAACAAGCTACCATCTTGCAGGATCCAGTTATAACATGGTAGAGTCAGACACCGCCTGGGAATATGGATTTTAAAAGTTTGGACCCATCTATGCTACCATATTTGAAATGTCATTTTAACCATCAGGTAAAGGGACAAGAGGCTATATCCGCGATGACTGAGAAGCAAAGAAAATTGAACTTACTCTAGTACTAAGTCATTTTTATGATGTAAAACCTTTGAGTCCCAAGGCACAATGTTGTGTCCACACCCGCTCAAGAAAAAAATAGCTGCCTCTATTTTTTGCTTTGAAGTGAATATTTATTACTTCTAAGAAAAAAGCAATCAAAATATATCATCTTCCAAAGACATAAGAAATAACCAATCCTGTTGGTTGCCAGTTAATCTCAACATTTAACAATACCTTCCTACCGCAATTCAGGACTAGGACTGTGCAAAACATTAATAGTGAAACAATGATACTACCACTCACAGTTACCACATCCGTGTAAGGAAAACTATTGACTTTGAAATCTTTAAACATCACATCCACCATAATCTCTTCACTGCTGAGAGGACAACCATACACTCCCCGAAGTCTTAACCACCAGAGGTTGATCAAAGCAGCAGACAAAGGGGGCACCGACGTAATCCTCAACCATGATGACAACATAAATGAGATCAGTTGACAACTCTCTGGCATTATCTACTATAAAGAACTCAGAGATGACCACCCACCACAATTTACCCATGAACTTAAGGATATCATCAAATCCTACCCCAAACAACTCCACCAGTAACTCTAAAAACTCATTCTCCAAAATCTTATCCCAAAGACCTCCCACATGCTTCCCAAGATATACAAGCAAGGGAGAATAGGCAGAGCTGTCTTACCTGGCCATAGCACTCTTACTGAAGGAATATCAGGACTCAAAAAACTATCTTCAAAACAACTCACCACATGAAGAGCGCAACTGACTTCCTTCACAAACTATGCAACATTAATACCGTCAGAGCAATGTCCTGCCACCACGGATGCCACTCCCCCATACAGCAACATCCCTCCATTTTGTCATCATTGCCTACTTCAAAAATATTTACAAGACAATGGACTACCCTCAGATATCCACCTCAAGGATATCACCAAATTCATCAATTTTATCCTCACCCGTAACAATTTTACATTCAACAACAAACATTTTGTCCCAACCATGCTAATTAGGATAGCTCCCCAATATGCCAACCTCTTAATGGGCCACCTTGAAGAAGAATTTTTGGACAAATGAACCACAAAACCAGTGATATACCTGAAATACGTAGCGGATATTTTCATCTTTTGGACTGACTGTTTAAACTCTCTTATAGATTTCCAGCACAAATTCAACTACCACCACCCATCCACTGCCATCTCTCTGAAACACTCCCACACTAACATCAACTTTCTGGACCACAATCTTCTTCAACCATGGACTCCCATAGACAACCATAGACAAGAAACCCAAGAATCACCACCTCTACTCTCACAGTTACCTTTCCACCTCAAACACATCAAGAAATCTTATCAACAGCCAGGTACTCAGATACAGCAAAGTAGGCTTTGGGGAGAAAGCCCAGGATACTCTTAAGCACTCTTAAAATTGTCTTTACCAAACAAGGACACTCCACCAGGGAAATAGATCATATCATGGAACACACCACCCAAATACCCCAGAGAACTTGCTTCTATACAGAAATAAAAACCCCTCTGACCAAATAGCTCTAGCTGTCACCTGCTAGCCTGTGCTGGAACCCAATCATCAAGCAATTAGTACCCATACACCATGAGGACCCTATCCTGAAAGAAATGTTTCCTGAACATCCACTTCAGTCCTTCAAACAACCCCCAACCTTTCCAAGTTCACCATCAGGAACAATTTCCTCACAGACCAGGATACGCTAACGCAGAGCAGCACCAGACCCTGTTAGAACAACAGATACAAAACCTGCAAACATATCTCCACTGTTGTGATGATCAACAGCCCCCATAAGACACATTTCAAGATTCATGGGCCCTACACATACTTATGACAACACATAGTTTGTTTCACCCAGTGCACTAAATTCCTCAATAACAATATGGATGATGCCAGACAATCAATACTCTCGCAAATGAACTCGTCCAGAAAAATGACAAAATACCCTATCAGCTGTGGGTGAGCACTTTTCACAAAACAATCGCCATTTTTTACCTATCCGTCCTCAATTTCAAAGGAAACCTGCACAACACTTTCAAAGGATGAGTCTGGGACCTTACTTTCATGACCCCTCTAGACACTAGAAATTGACTGAAGAGACATACTAGATTTATGGTTTATTACAACATGTAACCTACTAAGCCACCTTCTGTCTGTATTATGACTGCAGAAGCATTAATAGGCTACTGTCTTGAATGGTCCCTTACAATATGGGTCAACCTCTTATGCAAAACAACCCTCAGTCCTGGCAACCCCCAACACCAAAGTTGGTCCAATAAAAGATATTATCTCCCCTGCTTTGTCTCTCTAATAGTGAAATGAAAACATCCAAAACCCACTCAGTTCTTACTTTCATTACAACCTTAAAATTCTTAGAAGATTCCCAATTTCTAATAACATGGATTTCTTAAGCAAACCTGGCATGAGTTTCTAGCAAACAGGCTGATTTAAGGAAATCATGCAACTCGCCGATTTCAATGCTAGGTACAACTTAATGCTTTCAGCTAAACCCAATATGTGAAATGAAACTCAGGGATTTCAGAATCACACCAACAGATGCTAATTCACACTTCCCTACCAGACTGAAAGTTTATACCAGCCTGAGTAATATTATCTAGATATTTAGGCCTCAATCTTGCACACCTGTATACACACTAGTAACTTGTTAGGCATGTGCATAGATCCATGACAGCAGTATTCGTTGTTGTAACCAATTACAACAGACTGAGGCCATAAATGAGAAGTACTGGTAGAACCAGTAAAATCTTTCTGGTCAGAAACTTAGTGCACCCACTTATTCCCCTGAGTCCCCTGCAAATGGCAGCAGAGAGATTTGCAGAGTCTTATTCAGAGGTGCCTCAACTCATACTGTAATAATGAAATAATTACATTGAATCAATGTAAAGCCTTCAGGCCAGATTTTTGTTTAAGTTGCTTAGGAGTTGCTCCAGGCAGCATTGCAAAGCCTACGAGTAGGTCTACACTGTAGCTGGAGATGTCATTTCCATGTCGGGCAGAAATACCCATGATAGCTCTAATCAAGCGATTGCGCTAAAAATAGAAACATAGCTGCTGTGGTAGGACAGACCAGCCACGCTGAGTACCATAGATCTGAAACCTGGGGTACATACTCGGGGAGGGCGGAGTTAATCGATCCTGCCACTCGTGCCACCATAGCTACACTTCTCTTTTTAGCGTGCTAGTTGAATCAGAACTAGGGCTAGCTTGGCTGTAGCCACCTGCACTGGAGCTCCTTACATCTTCAGTTCCAGTTCAGACATTCCCTAACTAACACAGGAGCAGGGGTGCTGGGACGGGGGCTGAGGGGCAAAAGGTCCCATCACTTTTCCAGCCAGTAAAAAGTGGCAGGGCTACTTTTAAAGGTGAGCAACCAGGGGGAAGAGGCAGAAAGGAGCAGGCCCACTGACAAGGGATGGCAAAGGGGGCAACTTCCCTGGGGCCTGGCAATACAATGGGGCCTGGAGCTCCTGACCGCCACTACTGCAGCAGCAAGGGCAGCTGGATCCCTGGACCTTTTAAATCGCTGCCAGAGCTCTGCACAGTGCGCTCTGGGCAGCACTGAGGGCTGCCTAGCCCCAGCCCTGCCCCTTGCACTGAAATCTCTGCCCATTCCAGGGATGCAGAGGACAGCTCCTCCACACCTTGCCCTGAGGGCTGGGGAAGCTACCTGACCGCCACTACTGCAGCAGCAAGGGCAGCTGGATCCCTGGACCTTTTAAATCGCTGCCAGAGCTCTGCACAGTGCGCTCTGGGCAGCACTGAGGGCTGCCTAGCCCCAGCCCTGCCCCTTGCACTGAAATCTCTGCCCATTCCAGGGATGCAGAGGACAGCTCCTCCACACCTTGCCCTGAGGGCTGGGGAAGCTATCAGCCCCACAGGAGAGGAGCAAGTGGGGGGGGGGGGGGGGGGGGGGTGTTGCAGGGGCAGAACCTCAGGGAAAAGAGACAGCATAGGGGATGGCCACGATTCAGTTGCCATGAACTCCCCCACCATCTTTGCTTAAGCTCCTAAGTCTCACGTGTAGAAGTAATTTAGTCTTTTAGGAGCCTGCATCCTATTGAATGTCAATAGGATTTAGACTTCCTAAGAGCCCAAATCAATTCTTAAAATGGGAGTTGAGTGGTGCAATGGCAAGTGGAGTAACAGCTAAATACCACTGAAATGAAAATCTGGTGCTAAGCCAACCTATTTCCATACCCAACAGATACAGAAACTAGCTTTTCATAGGCCAACCTTTCAAGTGAGATACTCACACACAATGTAGATCAGGAAGAAGCTATGCCAAGAATAATTATTTTTAATCTGAATGCCACAAATAACAAAAAGCTCCCATTGGTTCATAGAAAAGAACAGTAACTGACAATTATCTTCACTTCTAAAGGCTATCTGCTACTCCTGCCTTCAATACTTATTAGTCACAGAACTACATCATGATGCTTCTCCTAATAAACTAATTTGGCTGAAAATATTATTTTATCTGTGTGTCTGGAAATATGGGAAATGCTTCAAAGATGCACAACAGCAGCACTGTTGGTGGTTCCATTTCCATGTATTGCAAGAGGGAAACCAACTCTTTATTTCCTAAAATAAGCTTAAATGTCTTATGCTTCTTTAAGAATATTCCTAAATGTATTATTTATATACTCTGCTAAAAACATCTCTCTCTTATCTCACATCATTAGCATCAATGATATATTTTAAAGTTATAACCATGCCACACATAGTAATTATGCAAAATGATAAATGGGCACAGATAAAGGCTACTAGTATATAAACAAATAGAGTATAAATATGTGCGTGTTTAGAATGGAAATGTAGTATGCGGAAGTATTCTATATTATTTGAGCAATCAGTTTGCATCAGTTTTTTATTCTAGTGATCTGGGTCTAAGCATTAGTCAGCTGAAAAAGAAATAGAAAAGATGTATAACTCCCAAAATACATAAAAGAAAACTGCAAAGGTCTGCTTCTGGAATCCTAGGTTTAAGTGGGACTAATCATGTAAGGATTACCTCTGGGTATGTCTACACTACAGCACTAATTCGAACTAACTTAATTCAAATTAGTTAATTGGAACTAAGCTAATTCAAACTAGTGCATCTAGACCTAAAAACTATTCAAATTAGTCGGCAGACAGGCTACTGGGTTAGATGGGCCTTTGGTCTGACCCAGTACGGCCATTCTTATGTTCTTATGTTCTAAGCTCAGGACTCAGGGTCGGGGGTCTCACTGGACCACCTTGATTTTCATGCAAGCCTGCTCCTGGGTTCGTATGTGGCCTTTGGTGGCCAGGCGCCTCTTGTGGCCCCGGGCAGATTCCTGGGAGCCGCCAGCCTGGTCCCTGGAAGAGGCAGAGGGCTGGGTGGCAGCGGGTGGCTGGCTCGTGCCGTGCCAGGTGCAGGGTCTGCTGGCTAGGTGCTGGTAGGCTTGCACCTGGCACAAGCACCATAAGCAGACCGTGCCCCTTTAAGGGCTCCGGGGCCGGGAGCAGGGCAGAAGAGTTTCCCTGGTTTGGTCCAGAGAGGCCACCAGGGCAAGCTGGGAAGGGCTAGCTTCTCACTAGTTCGAACTAAGTGGCTACACAGCCCTTAATTTGAACTACTTAATTCGAACTCGGCATTAGTCCTCATAGAATGAGGTTTACCTAGTTCAAATTAAGTTCGAACTAGCGATTTGTATGTGTAGCGCCTATTAAAGTTAATTCGAACTAACGGCTGTTAGTTAGAATTAACTTTGTAGTGTAGACATATCCTCTGTGACTAAAGGTGGCAGGATCAAGCTCTTGACTTATGAGTCATAAGTCATTTTATTTTATTTTTTTATTATTTGATGTTTCTATATTGACTCCCATATGTATGTCTCGCCCTCTCTATACATATAAACAGAGAGAAAGATATGCACATGCACACATTACAAATATCTATATACACAGAGTTACCTTTTAATGCAATTTACTTAAAAATAAAATCATAAGCTTAAATTCAATTATGATTCTTATTTTTAAATGTCATATTTCCTCTGTACATTTACTTCCAATAATAAATGTACTTAAAGTCTGAAAAAATATTTTTAAAGATAGTACAGTGAAGAGTATGTGTGTGTTATCTTCTAATAATGCACTCAAACATTTATGTTCTATACTTGTTCTTTAATTCTTCCAAGTTTGCACTGAGCTCTGTATAAAGAACTTTTTGCTGTTTCTCCTCAATTTGCATGAAAACATCCCAAACAAGTTAGATACACATATCAAGACTATAGAGAAGTGATCCCTGAATTGGGTAACATGAGTATCTAGTTAGCAGCATTAACCTAAAGTACTTTCAAACCATTAATTCTCATAATATCACTGCGAGTCAGGTAAGTGTCAAATTTACCCATTTTTCAGATGGATAAGCTTTAGGACAATATAAGTTATATGATTTGCCCAAAGTTACTTGAGAATTTAATGATGGGAATTGATATCAGGAACCTACTTGCTTTCTAGCCCTGTGTTCTAATCAGTTGACAATACCCACTCCTTTTTGCCAACAAGGTGCCTGCAAATTTTGGATCTGGATTCAGATTTAAATCTCTCTGAAGTTTAGAAGATCAGAGGTTTTGGTCGGTGTTTTCCATTTGTAAACCCTTTAAAATCCATTACATTCTGGGCCCATCACTTCAACTCATCACAAACACAGAGCTATCATAGTCAGCGGATTAGATTATCTGTATTCACAGTACTGAACTCTCACCTCAATTTCAAATCCAAATGTTTCATTATCTTCTTTGACAATAGCAAGAAGCCGTCTGTAAAAAAAACAAAAACATAAATCTGCATATAAAGAACACAGCACCACATTTGTGTGGGGCGGGTGGTTATTTATTACTCAGAAATGCAAAATGCTGTTATTTATCCAACTGTGACATACCAGCCCTACCAACAGTCTCGATTCATAGCATGTATATTTACAGAGAGTCATAAATCTCAGGAGCCTTTCTTCTCAGAATTCAAATTACTTCTTAAACACACCTGCTTTACACTGCTCGCTAGCTACTATGTATGAATGACTCACCATTCTCTGCCTGGCATCTGCTTTGTACCTACTCTTGCTGTTAAGATGAAGCTCTTCATGGAGTCATTTTGTGTTTTGTATTTTTACTATTTATACATCTAAAACACAATATAAATCAGAGCAATTATTACAGTAAAGCCCAAATCTCTTTACCTTTGTGCTCCAGAAGAGTCACCGAAGGAACTTGATCTGGTTAAAGCAAGCTGGAAACAGAAATTAAAGATTGCCATTGTCAATAGATCTATACAGTGAACAACATCAACACGTTAATAGAAAACAACATCAGAGAGACAATTCCTTGAATCTTTATGTCTTAGTGAATTTCTGTTCCCAAGAGAATTATTTTGGCAATGTTGCTGTCACATGAGCATTGTGTGAAAAAAAACAGGTGTGGGGTGGGTAAAAACAGGAACAGAAGAAAGTGAAGTGTTTGCATGACTTTTCAAGTGCATATATCTGCTAAAGGTGTTCTCTTGATGTCTCAGCAAGGGGCAAATTATACCTCCACTTACACCAGCTTGGCACCCTGAGCACTATAGGAGGACAGAAGATGTTACTGCTGCCTGACCATCCTTGGTGTTCCCTCTGGTATAGAAGCAGGTGCAAAGAGCTTAAGGGATGTGGTGAGTCAACTCATTTCACATTCACTCACTCCAGCCATTCCTGACCAATTTGGGGACAGCATTGGCTGCATGTAGGTCCCTTATTAAAGGAGAGAGTTTGCAAGCACATTGCACCCCTGCCACCTTTCCCAGGCAGTCCTCATTGTATGGGTGCTGTATTTTAGTTGATGCCTTAAAAAGTCAGTATAAGCCTCACATTAGTTTAGTCCTAAAACTATATTGGGTAAGAGGAGACAAAAAAGGGGTAAGATCTAGATTTCCCAGTCAAGGCCTTTTGTACCACCATCTGTCAGTTGGCACTTGGGCGGTCTGCTCTTCGTGTATGAATTCAGCAGCAATGTTCAGCATTCTCCATAGATCTGTTAAAAACATAAATCTCTCTGATCTTCCACACCATTCCCAGTCTCTGTGCCATTTCGAAATGAAATGATGAGAGAAGAAACGAGTCTCAGAGAAATTTGGTAGATTGCATAGTGCTGTACCAGTCAATAGCAAAGACACTTTTGACACTACATCTCCTCACTAATAAACACACAGAGGCAAGTGGGAGCAAATTAGATAGGAGATTTCATTTTGTTAAGTCTCCAGGTCCATAGCAATGGAACTAGATGACAGAAAGGTAAACTATAAACAAACTGGATTTAATTTGAAATAAAAGTTTTAATTAAAACAGTATATGTGGTCCATCTGATAAAAAAGACAACTACAGAACATCAGTTTTAGAAGGTAAATATAAGATTGTAAACCAATTCCCATTCCTCTTCAAATCCATCTTTTCAATGCCAGCTGGCTATGTCTAATCAATATCCATCAGTATATAAACCCGTCTGCTTTCTAGGACTGATTTTCCATTTCACGTGCAACATTCAGTAGTTTTACATGTCATTCATCATACATTGTTTTAATATTGATTTGTCAGAGAAAGTCATTGGTACGGAGCAATATTTCCAAGTGGGAGAGGATCAATGTTCCCTCTAATCTTTTCCATCTATGTGCAGAATAATTTTTTTTATGTGCACCACTAGTAGAAATAAAAAACCTAGAGAGGGTGCTCTGCTAATCAGCTGGGCAGCATTTTTATCTTTCCTGAGTGGATGCATAAGTGCACACCTTTCAGAGAATCCTGGTGTGGTTGTCACTTAATATGATCTCTTCAGACTGTTTGATACAAAGTGGAAATACTACATAGTTTCTGAGACTACCATGGGAAAACACTGGGGACATTTGGGACCAGATATACCATTATGTGACTCCAATTTGATGACATTGTAAAATATTCAATAGTCCTACACTGGAAAATTGCAATGAATCGAGCAATATTAAAAACAACAACAACAAACACTTTCCAGTATCTGTGTAGCCAAATGTCAGGCACGATCCTGCTGCTAATAGGATAAAGATGAACCCCATTAATAAATTGTTACCAATTGCCAGCAAAAGAATGAGGTAACTCACAGCATACTTTTGTACTATGGAAGGGCACCTAAGACCATAGTGTAACTTGGTTAAGCGATGACTATGATACCTGGCAAAGAGTTTGAAGGCTATAAACACAGTGGAAGGCATTGTTTAGGGGAATGAAAGCAGTTGTAATTGAAAGTAACGGGGTGAGTCTATGAAGTGTGAAAATTGAAGCTTAATGTCATTTTGAGAGAGAGACCGGTTTGACTATGGATCCCACATTGCCCTCACCATTCCACCACAGGGCTTTAAACTGGAAAATGTAGTAAGGAAAACCCTGCTCTGGTCAGGTAGCTGAAGTGTGTCCTATGATTCTATAGCATCTTTTGTTAATATAAGAATGTGTATGTTGTGGCACTTTCAGGTGGGAGGAATGACTCTCACTGTTCACTGATATTGTTGAAACTGTCCTGCTGTGTACTATGGAAAATGTACAAGTTGATCGATGTCTGAGATATGCAGGTTTGAACACCCACGCTCTACAGTCAGGCACAATCTAAATCTACGTGTGACCCAAAATCCACAGGCCCCGGACATGCTGTCTTACCCCTAAGAGGCTCAAGGTATGCATCAATGCATTATTTGGGGCAGTGTTGGAAGGCATATAATGCTCATGAATCACTCAGCATGTTTTTCAGAACACTTGGGAACCCTTCGGTCTGAATTAGGAGGCATTCCAAGGGCAGAAAAGGCTACCAGCAGGGCTGGTTCCAGGGTTGGGAGAGCAACTGCCAAGGCATGCTGAACTGCTGTGTCACTCAGTTCTTATTCTCTTTTTCCTGTGGGGGAAGGGAGAGAAGGCTGGTGCTGAAAATATTTTCCATCCTGTCCAGCAAAATGGGTAGGGCTGCTCCTGGGCATAGGTTGTTATAATCAGAGTTAATATTATAATTATTATTTATATAGTGTCAAAAGTCTATTTTAATAGCACTAATACTTTACACCTCAGTGGCTTCTTCCATCTGAGGACATGACAGTTTTTACAAACATTAACACTTAACACCCTGTGAAAAGAAGAGCTCTGTGTGAACTTGGATGTTTTTCTCACCGACATAAGTTGGTCCGCTAAAAGGGGGTGTTAACTCACCCAGAGAGAAACACTAGTTGAACAATCCTTGTTTTACAAATGGGGAAACTGAGGCAGTGATGATTAATTGACCAGGTTCACACAAGAACCAGCTGAATCAGTAGTAGGACTCAAAGGCTACATCTATACTACCAGGTTATTTCAAAATAACTCCCGAAATAACTATTTTGAAATAAGCTTATTCTTCTTCGCTAGCAGGAGTTATTATTTTGAAATAAGAGATTTGGTAGTGTGGACACTTGCCTTGTTATTTTGAAATAACATGAATAATCTTCATGAACGGTGGATTACAATAGTGTACATGCATTCACAATGCCAGAAAACCATACCTTGATATTCCAGACAGGTAAAAAGTATTTAAGAAATCAGGAAGGATTCTGAAAAGGGCTAACATTAATTTTAAGCAAAAATTCTTGCCAGTATGTAGATTACAAATGAGGAACTACTGACCTGTATCACTAAAATGTCTGTGGATTGCATGTTAATGTAATAAAACCTACCACACAGACTTCAGTGGGATAAAACTGTGTCCCATCATAAAACAACCATCTCCATACAAATCTTATTTCAGAAACATGTATTTGTTTTGGGGAAAGAATGTTAGAGATACTTAAACTGTAGGTTGTTTGTAAGAGTTAAATATGCACATAACTCTAAACTCATCTACTTCTCTAACGTATCCATCAGATATGTAATTCTTTGCATAGGGCGGTTCTCCTAAGATACATGTGTTACAATTTATTTTTAACAATCATTTGTTAAATCGCTTCTCAGCCATTCTTGTAAATGTTATCTCTAAATCACACACAATTGCCATTGAAAACCAGAGGAAACTATGCAGTTGTAACTGAAGAATCAACAATATTTCACAGAAATACATTAATCTGTCTAGTTCTGCTTTATCTTCTCCAGGATTGTGCAAAGAGAAGGATTAAGTGAATGCTTAAGTACACAATCACTATGTACAAATTCTTTGAGAATAATTTTGTGTTAATGTGTCTTATGTACTTTCAATTTAGATTGCTAGCTATCACCTGTAAGTGCTTATTTGCCAGTTCACAACAATAGCGAGACTAGAAATAGGTCTTTGTTAAAAACCAATTGCAAACAACAGAAATCTGTCAAGTTCTGAAGAAAGAAAAGAAAAAACAAAGAATATTGTATTGAGAAAAGTCAAATTAAAATCACTCTGAGCAAAATTCTTCAACCCAGATGAACGCACAACTAACGAGAAGTGCTTTCAATCAGAGATGTAGGAGGCAGTTCACGAGGGAACCAAAAAGCCCAAGCATTCTATTATACCAAAATAAGATAAAGTAAACTATTTGAAACATCCAGAAATCAAGTCTTCTCAATACAATTGTAAACTGAGAACAATGCCTAATGCAGCTCACTTTATGTTCTGATTAGTGTGGCCAGATGTCCTGATTTTAAAGGGACAGTTCTGTTATTCGGGGATTTGTCTTATACAGGCACCTTATTATTCCCTGTCCTGTTTTTTTAAACATGCTGTCTGGTCACCCTAGTTTTAAGTTGCCCTAGATTTTTAATTCATCCTGTGCATAAATTCAGGGTAGGAAACTTGCCATATTAGTATTTTGCTTTAAAGGTTTTAATCACAACTCAAGGAAAGATGCTGGATCATATTCCCCCTAGCATAATTCCATTGAATGTATTAAAGTTAAACCAAGGTTGAACGTGGCCTGCTATATTCTACAATAAACCTGTACAAATCACATGTTGATAACCTTGTAGCTTTCACTTGAAAACAATAAAAAACACAGAAAAATAATTATCTGTTCTGTGAAAAATTAGTCTTCCCCCAATATTAAAAGCTGAAAACATACCTGTTTACGTCCTCTAGGTAACGTCCCCACTGTGTTCGCCAGAATCTGAACTCTTCTATTATCCATTTGGGGACTGCACATTGGTTCCAAGTGAGGTGTGTAACTTGGACTGACACTGTAGCCCACAAAATTGGCATTGCAATTTTGCTGAATGAGCTTTTTTAAAGACATGTCAGATGAAGGGCACAGAGACTAGCATTTCTAACTAACATTGCTTGGCTGAGGAAACTAAAACTATAACCTCCTCTCCAAGCAATCAAAAGTAACAAACAGAAAGGGAGCCCATGTGACTTGTGGTTTAGGTGCATGTTACATAAATCTCTTGCAGATCACCAACGTTACTCAATTTTTTTTAGCTCATGGGAGAGTTAGGAGGTGTGTTTTGCAATTAAAGAAAGCTGCTTGTTTTCCCACTCCTGGATACAAGCAGAACCCACATCATGCAGCTTTTATGTTCTAAGATGGCTTGTATTTAAAAGATCATCTTGCTTTAAAAACATCCCTAATTTTGATATATTAATTCTTACATTTGCTCTGTCTCCCTTCATATCCTTTAAATTATCGCTGACATAGAAAAAATGTTTTTTGCCTAATAATGACTTCACTGGAGGGTTAGGGATGTCGGCAGGAATTAGAGGGACCAAATGGAAAGTATTACCTGCAAGGGAGCTTGCAGGTAATACTGCTTGGGGCTGCTCTTAAAAGACTAAATGCATTTTGCTGTTAATCCATTAATTATCAGCAAATTCTGTTCTGAGAAGAAAAATCAACCTAATTCCAGAGAAGCAGGAAGGTGATACCAGGCAGCTCATAGTCAGCCATGAGGGAAAGCAGAGGATCCCAGGCAGTTCACAGTCAGACCAGGGCCATGGCTGGAGGACAGTTAGGTATTTCACAGCTGCTGGTCAGTGGGGCCTCAGAAAAATGACAACACCAGACTTGTCATTTGTCTTTTAAGCCAACTGTGCCAATTGGTCCTCCAGCATGTGGGCTCAAATGGACCATAGCTGATAAAGGAAGTACGGAGCTACCAAAGGCAGGGGTGTTGGAACAATTTATATAGTGGGGTGCTGAGAGCCACTGAACCATTCTTTAAACCCTTCATAGGATGGAAACCACTAAAAGCCAGGGAGTGTAGCAGCACCCTCAATACCTCTAATTCCAGCACCTCTCAGAAGGCTTCATCACTTACAACATCCACACATCTGTCACTACATACACGGCAGTGTCACAAAATTTCAAACACCATGTTGCAAACAACTGACCAAACTCTCTCCCCTCATCTGACTCCCTTGTGCCTCTCTCGTGAGGTACAAGGGCATGACAGTAGTTATTTGTGGACAGACGAGAATTCTCCTGTTAAAGAGGACCTCCCAGATAATGGGAATTCAGAGCAGACCTGGGAACACCATCCACTTTTACATAGGCCGCCACACAGGGGGCTGGTTTTTGTAAATATCCATAGCTTGAAGATGTAATTTTATAACTGGATCCTTTTCCTTGCACAGTTTTCCTTGTTATTGTTCTAGCAGCAAGTGAAAACATTTGAATAGGTCAAAGTAGATTGGGGTTTTCTGTTTTTATTTTTGTTCTCTTGGGGTTTTTTTAAACTTCCCAGGGCATCTTTTCTGTTTGATTCTCTATTCTATGGATAATCCAATAGCCCACAATGTCTCAGAAGGATGACACAAATAGGCCAGGGACAAGCAATAACATTTCATAAACCCAAATTTGAGATAGGGAAGATTTCACTGGTCTACAGTTAGTTCAAGGGGAAAAAGGGAATAGAATACAGAAACTTTCCAAACAACATAGAAACCAACACACACACACACACAAAATCAGCTCTTTGTGTTTCTTACAGTTCCTGTCTAGAAGTTAACATTACCTCTTTCAGACTTCAGTAAAACAGAAAGATGGAGTGTGAAAATGAAAATACAAGTAAAGCACTTTGTCCTGAGATGCATGCCAGGTCCACCAGCCTCACCTCCTTTGACCCTCAACACTGAAAATGTGTGTGAGAGAGAACAAGGAATTATCCATGCTTCACCAGACTTCAGAAGATGATTATCGCAGGAAATCCTATCTAGCCTGCCAGCCCAGAATTGCTGCTCTGCCAAGAATGCCATTTTCTGATGTCCAAAACCTGTCTCTGGGGGAGCCTAGATGATCTGATGGAAGATCTGATCTGAAATACACTTCATTTTTGATCAGTGTATGAAGATGAATATTTGACTAATCGACAAATGTCAAACAAGCATTAAAGTCATCAGGATTTGGCCTGTATAGTGGTTAATACTAGCATGTTCTTGAGATCTTCAACAGAAGATTCAGGGCTTCACTCCTGCTTTGGGCTGGGGGCTGCATTCAATAACCTCCTGAGGTCTCTTCCAGCTCTAGGATTCTATGATTCACTCTGTCTCAGAATCTCAGAAGTTACATTATTTTTTCCTCAACATGTCCTACTTGTTTGTCTTTAAAAAGCTATATGCACTTTGAAATCACTGACCACCAAAAGGTTTTTAAGGTGGTTTTTTTAACTCCCAAAAGGAAAATCCAGCACATAAAATGACAGGGATCATGGGCCACATAGAAAATGCGTAGTGGTGAGTTTAGTGCAAAAAAGTTTAGAGAACGCTGCCAAAACTTTAAGCTGAGGAAAAAGTTACAGATGCTAATTCCTCTTATCTTCTGCTAGCTACATGTATTTTCAGTGCCCTGGTTAGTGTCTGTATTATGCAGGGGGGATATGATACAGTGTTTTGATTTACATGTGTTTTGTACTTCCCTTTTACTTGTCCAGTTTTAGTAAAATGCTCTGAGGAAGTAGAGTGAGAGCACAATCTCTCAAAAAAGATCACTGACTCTAAAGGGTGCATGGTGGAGATCACAGCAGCCATGTAGTCATTTGTAAGCCGATACTGCTCCCTTTATCATCCCAAAAACTAGAAAGAGAAAACAAAAGTTCAAAGTCAGTAACAATGCATTCAGGAAGTGGTGAACGGGGCCCTCCTTTCTAAAATATAAAGCAAGTACAATGCAATTCCTAGCACAATTCATTTTTCTTTCTTAGCTGCCATTAATCTCTTTTTAGCTGTACTAAGTCCATTTTCCCTGAGTTACTGAACTCAGCCGTTTCAAGTGTCTAGTTAAAGGGGCATGGGGAAAAAGCTTCATGTGCCTTAGCTCTGGTTTCCTGTACAACTGTGAATCAACAGACAACTGGCCACAAACACCAAAGTGTGAAGAGTAATAAGAGCGTCATCACATCTTTGCACGGCAGCATGTATGTGAGTTCTTCAAGCTACTCGAACACAGTGGTTCTCACAACCTGTGGTCTGCAGACCCCACAGACATCCATGAACTTTATCTAAGGTGGGATGAGGAACCTTTTTGGGTTGAGAGCTGTTGACCCACAGAAAAATTAGTCGAGCGGGAGCCAGTGGGGGCTGGAGATCCAGTGAGCACCCCCCAATGTTGGGGGATGGGGAGAGGAGCCCAGAACCCTGGGGGCTGGAACCAGACAAACTGGGGACTGCATCTGGCCCTTGGGCCTTATGTTCCCTTCTCCTGATCTAAGGAGTCAGTGAAAGAGGGTCCACAAATGGAAGAAAGTTGAGAGGCCCTGCTCTAACAGCTAGTCATGGAAAGAAACATCTATTTCACAGAGTCACAATTAGGGTTGCTAGGGAATATCCTTAGTCTAATTTTTTAAAAATAATATGGGGCTTGATGTCCTATGACTTTAGGACAAGCCCATAGTGCTCTGCAATAGTAGTGCAGAACACGGTGGGTTATAGATGTAAGCAGGCACTGAACTGCTGCTTGCTATCAGCCAGCTAAAAGGAGGGAGCTGCCCTGGGGTAGGTGTGCCCACTACAATTAACTGTTAACTGTTGATATGTAAATACAGCTCATGCCAGGATAGGGAGGGACTACGAGGTGTGGCTATGTAAATCCCATTTAGCCAGGGCTGATGGAGGATCAGTGTTGGAATGGAATGTGTTATATTGTAAATAATTTGGGGCTGTTGTGGGGTCACAAATCATGCTACCCTAAATGTGGGAACTGTAAAACATGCCATCAGTGCTTGCAGCAGAGACACCACCATCATTGAAAGAGGTCTCCGAGGAACAAGTCTCCCCCCTTCCAGAGTTGAGAGGCCTGAGCTGGGGGGAAGGGTTAAAGGGCTTGAGTCAGCCTGCGTCAGGTGTGAGTGTAAGACTGGCCCAATCTGCCCCTTTCCCCCTTTGTTTTAAGGACAGAGCTAAAGCAGACTCTATGAGGAGTCTTTTTGCTGGTCCAGTGGAAGCTGGAATCCTTTGCTAGTCCAGATGGTGGCTAAAGAGTTGAAATCACTGGTTTGGCTGGGAGTGAGACCCATTACAGCTAGTGAAGCAGCGACGGCCACCAGAGTGGCTGGTGGGAATCACTGACCCGTGGTGTGGCGTGGCCGGTAGGAGTGGCGGCAGGTGAGGAGCGGCGACCAGCAGCATGGTGCAGCTGGTAGGAGTGGTGGCAGGCGGTGTGGAGCGGCAGCAGGCGAGGAACGGTGGCAGGCGAGGAGTGGTGACCAGCGGCATGGTGCAGCTGATAGGAGCAGCAGCAGGTGAGGAACGGCGACCAGCAGCGTGGAGTGGTGACCAGCGGCGCAGCGCGGCTGGTGGGAGCGGCGGCAGGCGACCAGCGGAGTGTCCTGTGGCGTGGAATGAAACGGTTGGTGGAGCATGGCGGAGTAGCTCATAAGGTTCCCCCATCTATCCTCCCACCTCCATTTCTACCCAGGTTGGGAGGTGAAACCCTGCGGGTGAACTTTTGGACTCTGGGTGGCACTGACCAGGGACAGAGACTTTTGGGGTGTCAGACTTTGGGACTTCAGGTGATTCTTGGCTGGGAGGGGCAGGGGCTCAGCTCATGTTTGGGCTATAAACTCTGTGGTATTTTCCCAAGATAATGCCATATGACTTCTCTCTCAGTTTCATTAAATGTTTCTTTCCTACACTCAGACTCTGTGCTTGCGAGTGGGGAAGCATTGCCTCTCAGAGGCACCCAGAGGTGTGTGAATTTTCTAGGTTATTGGGTGGGGGCTCGAGCTGGTTCTGTGTGAGATGGACCCCTAGATATTGAACCCGGCCCTGGTTGCTGCCAGGCCTACCCGGCAGAAGGGTTACATAGGTATGTTATTAGATGCTTTTGGACAATCACTCTATAGTTTTAAAAGTTTGCAACAATGTAGAG